TAATGTTCAGTATTATTCCACCTGAAGTCGAATTCCTCCCAGGTCCTCCTTTCTTGATATAGTCAAGTGCTTCATGGCACATGGTGAATGTACCAACAGAATCAATATCTAGTACTGCAACAGCCATCATGAGCATACCAAAAGAATCAATACGTAATATTGTTAAAGCATTCTCCTCACTTCAAATCAGAGAGGCAGGTAAATCCTATCCTTTTTCTTATACAAGCACTCCCCTCACTCAACCTCCATTTTATACCTCACGCTTCTTCCTCAAGAAGCGGCCATAAGCCCACGAGATAAATGGAGAAACAGAGGAAAACTTTCCTCTCTTCCACGCTTGTTTTGGGAAAATAGATTAAGAGAAGCTGACAGNAATAGATTAAGAGAAGCTGACAATACAGAAGGTTTGGAGAGGAATTTTTCACACTCATGTCCAGACATAGTTATTAGTTTCTGTGTTTAACCTCTCACCTTTTTGAACATTGAATCGACTTCAAGAATAGTAGCCATGTTGAAGAAGCTGGCCAGAATTAATAGAGGTGATTCTAACGATTTTTAAGCCAAGTCAGCTACTGGAACAGAAAAGCTCCTAATATACCAAGGGCTAGAAACTACGAATGAATTTTAAGGTCTCACGAATGTTGCTATGAATCTATTGAATACTCGTCATCTAATCTAGTCCGTCTTTCTTTTCCTTCCTACTTGAATGGGGTTTGTTTTATTGCACATTTCAGCAGGATGTTAAGGTCTTAGAAGGTTCACTTGTGCATTGATACATAAGAAGCTTAATAATCTGTTCAAAATCTTTATGAAACAAACCTGTCCTGAAGCCATTTGGAGACAAATCCTCAGGAGATACAAGGAAATTGCCAGCTGCAGCATTGACAAGAATGTCAAGCTTCCCAAAATGATTGACAGTTAACTCTACAACTCTTTTTGCATCTTCTTGCTTTCGCACATCCCCCTCAAAGCCAATTGCCTAGCGATGTGCAATGGAAACAAAGGAACAGTAAGACGACACTATCACAACTGAAGTAGTAGTCACTGTCCCTCTGTATTTGACTGTACATGGAGTTTAAGTAATAATGGACTTTAGATTCGTATGTTTAATATTATAACAAACCAAAAGTACCCTTAGTTCTATGGCATCACATTCCTATAAGAACATGTTATTAAAGACAAAATGATTATGTTAACTTCTATCTTTGATGGTGCAGATTGCTAGATAAGTAGTTTGGTAGTTTTGATGAGTTGTTGCTATTTCTTTTTTAACTGCATATTGGGGTTGTCCATATGCAATTTTATTGTTACCTATACTGAACGCCATTTGGTAATAAAATTCTGTTATTTACCCACAAAAAAAACACATTAAAAAGTTTCTAAATAAAAAACGATAAAGATCCAATCTAAACGATTGATGAAGTGGCAATTTTAAGGTATAAAGCAAAATTACTTTGATTCAATCTTCAGATAAATAAGCTGACGAATCCGATGCGAAGGCAAAAAACCAAATAACAGTATTTTGTAAATATGTTACCCTAAAACATATCATAAGCGAAATCAGGTAAAAGGACAGCGTACAGCTACTGCTTGGTAAAAGCGCTGATTACAAAGAAATGAACAAAAATGATTAGGTAAAAGGAATGGAGAAAAGGGGAAAAGAATATTACCGGAATACCAAGGGATTGAAGGTAGGAGACGGCGGAGTAGAGGATTGTCTTGCGGCGGCCCATGATGGCAACGGAGGCACCATGTTTGCCGAATTGAGTAGAGATCTCAAGGCCGATACCAGAACCGCCTCCGGTCAAAAGTGCTACTTTCCCTTTTAGTATGTCTGACTTGAAAGGAGACTCCATTACAAGTACAATGCCACGGGACTGTTTTTAGGAGGGATTAGTGAGAGCAGCAAAATAGCCTGACCAATAAGCACTTTCCTTCGGTCCTAACCAATAATAAGCACAATATCGTGCTTGAACCAAGTCAATCAAATAAATTCAAAAGTTAAAAAATAATAAAATGAAAGACAAACAAAAATGAGAGGCCAAGGCTAATTTTCAAGTTTAATTCATATACAAAAGAAGAAAATAGAAGTGTATGAGATGTGTCCTCTAACAAGGCATATACATGTATATATATACATAATACAATGAATGTCCACCGACAGCTAGTCTGGCTGTGGACCCGTCCAGCTGTGGTGCACTACTTTATGTTGGCATCATGTGATCTCCATGAATGTGTTGGCAGCCCATGTGCCAATGGTCTTGTCCAGCTGTTGTGCCCCAGTTCTTGCTGGCAGATAGTTGCCTCCATGATTGCCTAGACAGGCTGTGGTCCTACCCAGCTGTGCAGCACATGCCTTTGCTGGCAGTCAGTTGTTTCCATGATTGTCCTGGCAGGCTGTGGTCCTATACAGTTGTGCTGCATGCGACTTTGCTCGCACATTGTGGCCTCCATGAAGGTCCGGACTGCCTGTGGGATTGTTGCCTCCATGTGCAAAGACCTTCTGGTCTTTGGCAGCCAAGTTTGACTCGGTTTGCAGCCCTTTAGGCGGCAAATTTGGTCGGAAAATATGTGGGGCGGTACACCCCCCACTTGAAATGGCGACGACCGCGGCGCCACAACGGTTCAAGTAATCGTGAACTTGATCTTTGAACGGCCATAGCGCCTCATATGTTTCCCACGATGCCTCCTCTAGCGGTTGCCCCTTCCAACGGACAAGAAATTGGCGCTTGAATTGCCCCAACCTACTCCTTGTATCACTCGATGGTTGATAATGGCCTCGACTTCCTTGTAGACGACCGAAGGAGTTACGAAAATATTTGGTCGGCTTGATTGTCTCCGCTCCATATCACCCTTCTCTCCACAACGTGCCTCTGACGGACTGACATGCCCCGACCCAAGCAACTCTTCAGGTTGCTTCTTTGAATCCTCCAACTCTGAAGGCGCCATGTACGGACCCATGGCAGGTGGCTTCGCCCACGGTATGAAGTTCTTCTCCTTAAGGACTTGTTGTTCACAAGGAGTCAAGGTTTCGTCCACCTTGACCTCCTTAGTCTCTGTCCTGACTGCCAAAATCATTGCTCCCTCTTCCTTGAAGCCTTTCACGATTTGAATCGCGGACAATTGACTAACAACTTGTGGCACTCGAACTATCGGTACCACACATGGACCCCTCAGGTCATAAATGTAGATCTGGTTGAGATATGGGCAGATGAAGGCCTTCACTTCATCCCAATAGTCCAGCCCTAGTACCAGATCAAACACATCCAGGGAAGCGACAAAGAAACTCACGTTTCCCTGCCAAGCTCCTAAGTTGAGTTACACATTACGGGCAACTCCTTTCACGTTGGTGGGTTTGGCATTTATGGTCTTCAGCACGGAACTGCTAGGACCAAACACAAGGGCAAGTGACTTAGCCTTTGCTTCCGACACAAAGTTGTGTGTCGGGCCGCTATCTACCATGATACGAACAGATTGTCCGTTCAATCTTGCATCCACGAACAGGGATCCTAGCTTTCTCGATTTAGGCTCCCTTCCAATCACATCGTTGCCTAATGAGTGAACCAGTTTGTCAATGTCATGCTTCCCTTGGGCAGCTTGCTTCAAAGCAGGCTTTTTGGCTAGTACCGCGCCCAGTATCATGTTGCCAAGATGAGCTATGCCTGACGGTTGTTGAACTTCTACTTCGGCTTGTTTATCAACTTAGAATCTCTCTCCTCTGTTAGCCTCTGCTCGGCCGCAATTAAGGCACCGAGTTTCTTCAAAGAAGGACAATCCTTGTAACCATGACTAGTGTTATTGCAGATGTAACAACCATTGCGGGGACCAACTTCCTTCTTCCGTTGATTATACTGGTCACGCCAGTGAGATGCCTTGTTGCCTTCTTGTCTGGAATCGCGGTCCGAGGCAACAACTTACTTGCCCTTGTCTCGATGCCCATGGTCTCCACTAGGTTGGAAGTTGGTGTCCCTTGCCTTTGTGGCTTCAGTCCTAAAATCATTTAAGGACTCGGCCACCGCGATAGCTTCATCGACGTCTTGGACTTGACGCCGCTGCAATTCCTGTTTGGCCCAGTTTTGAAGGCCATCTATGAAGGTGAATAACAAGTCTTCGCTTGCCATGTTCAGAATCTGCAGGATGAGTTTAGTGAATTCCTTCATGTATTCACTAATGGAAGTTGTTTGCCTGAGCTCTCTCAACTTCCTACGTGCCTCATTGACAATGTTTTGGGGGTAGAACTGGCGCTTCAGTTCGAACTTGAACTGTTCTCAGCTCTTGATGGAGCAAGTTCCCTTCTCCATGTTTGTTTTCTTCCTCCTCCACCAAAGCATAGCGGTGTCGGCAAGATACATCATTGCTACCCGGATCTTGGCAACCTCATCAACGATGCTAAGGTTCTCAAAGTAGTCTTCCATCTTCCAGATGAAGTTCTCTACTTCTTGAGCATTTCGTTTGCCCCTAAACTCCTTTGGTTTTGGCCCTCGATTGTAGTTTCACGCACTATTACATGTCCAGTGCCACCGGCTAACCTTGCTACCTGTAGTTGTTGCTTTAGGACTTCAATTTCCCCGTACAATGCCGATACAGCCTTGGTCAACTTAAGATCAAGGTTGGTCAGTCCTTCCTTCTGCTCATCAATCACTTAATCTAACGTCTCTTTGACGTCTCCTAGTCCATCTAGGGTAGTAGACTCAAGTGAGCTGAACTTGTGTTCAACAACTTGCATGTGCTGATTTAAAGCATCTAAACGAGCTTCAATGAGATCTATTCTTACACCTAAGAGATTTGAGGTAGAAGCCTCACAATCTTCACCACGGCCAACCTGTTGTGGGGGCTAACACAAAAGCTGGCGCCTCACTTGTTACGGCTATGGGGGATCTCGCACTTTGCTCATTCCTCTCTTATTTGGTTTCGGTCTCTTTGTTGGTGACTCGTCTCTCCCACGAATGTTGTCTAAGGTAACATCATCTCCATCAGTTGCCATGGTCAACTAACCTCACTCTGATACCAATTGTCACTGGACCGTTTTTCTGAGGGCTCCGTGAGGACAACAAGATAGCCTAACTACTACTCTTGCTTCAGTCCTAACCAATAATAAGCACAGTGTCGTGCTTGAACCAAGGCAATCACACAAACTCAAAGGTTGGAAGACATTGAAATGAAAGACACACAAAGATGGGAGGCCAAGGCTAATTTTCGGGTTTAGTTCATATACAAAAGAAAGTAATACAAGTGTGTGAGATCTGCCCTCTAACAAGGCATATACATGTCTATATATACCATGAATGTCCACAGGCAGCTAGGCTGGCTGTGGACCCGTCCAGCTGTGGTGCACTGCTTTATGCTGGCATCATGTGATCTCCATGAATATGTTGGCAGCCCATGTGCTAATGGTCTTGTCCAGCTGTTGTGCCCCAGTTCTTGCTGGCAGATAGTTGCCTCCATGATTGCCCAGACAGGCTATGGTCCTACCCAGCTGTGCAGCATATGCCGTTGCTGGCAGTCAGTTGTTTCCATGATTGTCCTGGCAGGCTGTGGTCCTATACAGTTGTGCTGCATGTGACTTTGCTGGCACATTGTGGCCTCCATAAAGGTCCGGACTGCCTGTGGGATTGTTGCCTCCATATGCAAAGACCTTCTGGTCTTTGGCAACCAAGTTTGGCTCGGTTTGCAGCCCTTTAGGTGGCAAATTTGGTCGGAAAATATGTGGGGCGGTACAACAAGCCCTCTTTGTTTGTTTGTTTGTTTTTTGTTTTCCGTTGAATTCCACGGAACTGGAAATGTAAGAACGTGTTTGTTATGTGGGTTACTATTAGCATGTTCGTGTATGAAAATTGTAATCAACGGACATCCGCCTTGGGATTATCACCACACCACACAATACTGCAAATGGATCCTCCTCTTAATGTGGTGGGGCCACTTACAAGTAAGGTCCTTCAACTAGTGTGTACCTTACCTCTACCTTGAATATAGAGATACTGTTTTCGATAGACTCTCGGCTCACAAAAGACGAGAAAAAAGCAACAACACCAAACAATAACAACAAAAAAATAGTAGAAACAAAATGAAAGAAACAATAAGTAATAAATCTAACAATAAGAAATACAAGTCTAACACTAATACTCTTGACTACCTACTAGTCGTCTACCTTGATCACCTTCCTATCAAGGGTCATGTTCTCGGTAAGCTGAAGAAACTTCATATCTTGCCCAATCACCTCTCTCCAATACATTTTCGGCCTACCTCTACCTCTCCACAGCTCCTCCAGCGCCAACCTCTCACACCTCCTTAGTGGAGCATCTGTGTCTCTCCTCTTCACATGCCCAAACCATCTAAGCCTAGCTTCTCGCATCTTGTCCTCCACCGGAGACACTCCCACTCTGGCCCAGCTATCTTCATTTATTATCCTATCCATCCTGGTATGTGTATGAGTAAAAACTTTATTTGACATATTTGGCCCAGTCAACTGTAATAAAGCATACGATGGTGGTGACGTGTCGACATGACTCCGAAATATCGAGGTCAGAGGTGAAGGATAAAGCGGTATCGAGGTCAAACTGGTTTGAAAGATGACAAGTACGAGCATTCATCCTGGATACGAGGTGATGGCCAGCCTTGGAATTTAGATTCCCTTTTACTATCTAGGGTTTGTGGCCCATGCGCTCTTATAAATAGGAAGAGATGTTTATAAAAAAGGATTTTGGATCTTTGGTAAAGAATTTCATCAACATTCTTTGTACAAGATTCTCACTTTATTGAATCGAAACAAAGCTTGACTTTACACCCTCCTTCATTTATCCCTCCCCGATCCAAGAAAGATCGAAATATACGGCTGTTTATCATCATCCATCGTTAGGAGAAAGACATCTGGGGAACTCATCCTTGACGGGTTATCTCTGTCTCATTCATTATTTGAAATTCATTTATTGT